AAAGATGCTATCTTTAATACAAGTTTTTTTGATATTAACTTATAACCTCTCTATCTCTCTCGAGAACTTGACAAAAATACTTGGTGGCTGTCAGTTTTACCGGACTGGAGCTAATACCTGAGTTTTTTGTTGAAGTCCTAATAAAATTCGGTAATAAAACGCGCATCCTAAGTGATGCACACAATCGCTAAAAATAAGACTCTGATCTGATATCGTAATGAACCTTAATGCTCTATGCGTGGTATTTTTGATCTGCCAGCATAATTTCTAAGATTGCTTGTTTCTATTCTAAGTCCGATATTCATATTGTTTTACAGTTTGATATTTCTTGTAAGCTAAGAACTAATGGCAATGACTTGTATAGTTTTTTTCCGATATTATTTAATATCCTAATACATATAAATATATCTATAAAGTAATTTACAAGTTAGAATAAGTTGATTGTAAAGATATCTATTCTATCTATTCGTATGTGATCGTAATATCTATTAAGTTTATTTAAACATATGTTCCTTTTTATATGTAAATACGAATTCTAATACTAGTTAAAAACACTTTTACAAATTCTATTTACATGCAAGTGTAAACGTCTCGACAATTGACTGGCATTTTCTTAATGCATTTCACTTAAACTTGACAGCAGTCTTGGCATTGATGAACAAATGTGCTGAAGCTCCAAAACTAAAGCACCAACTCTATTAGAATTAAAACGAAAATGAATCCTAGGGAAGGTAAAGGTAAAGGTAAAGATTCTTATAGTTATAAAAATAATATGTAGATATTTTTATATTTTTTCAAAGGTGAATACATCAAGGGAACATTTGATAATTTTACACCTCGGCCGCACTTCCACCAGTGCTAACATTCCTTCCCCACACCTCTTCATTTAATCCTTAAATTTATGGCGTAAAGTCTGCAATGCTGTGAAATGATACGCCTAAATTAAACACGTCATTCACATTGTATTTTGTATTTCGACTAAAATTTGCTAAATTAAAAGAGTTCGAATTTGTTGCCACAAAAGTATTGCATTTTATTGAACTCAGCATGATGATGAAGTGGAAAGGTTTTTATTCACATGAATATGCGTGCACAACATTTGTTGGATCTTTTGCCAAAGGACATTGAACCTCTGCACTTACGCAAAACTATTGCAAGTTTTTACACAACAAAATTTTTTGGTGCAGAAAACCTTTATGGAATGAACTGTGTATATGGCAAAGTGTGAAGCTGTAGATAACATCTCTTGATGTTAGTCATAAGTTAATTAAGTTAATAAAGTTACAAATAACATACTAAATTTTAATACACTTCAAAGCTGTCGTGTTTTTCTATATTTTTTATTTCTATATTGAATAATTAAATGCATATGTGATTTTGATGATTGGAAATTTCCATATTCAATGGGACTTGCAATACAGTGGCTCTTAAGTGACTCAAGTATTGAAAAACATAAAAAGAGTTAAATTAATTTTTTTTGAAATAATATTTAATAAACTATCAATTGCTCAGTTTTTCATAAAGAGTGTTTTTCAAAGAGTTTTTCATAAAGAGACTTTCTAAAACAGTTTTACAGAATCAGTTTTTTTGAAAGTGGTTTCCATATAATAATTTCTGACATCAGTCAGCATGATAGTCGTATTCCCAGTGATAACAATCGCATATATTTATATATACATTTATACATTTGCATTATAATTACATAGAAAAAGATTTAAATTAAATTTGCTGAGGATAACATTCTAAATATAAACTTTAACTTAAAACTATTACAAATATTTAAAAAATTTAGTTCTAATTGTAGTAATACAGTGTTTACCTGGCTCAATTAAATAAATTAATAGATTACATAAACAAATTTATTAACGCACTAAGTGAGAGAGCCCGAGAACTCAAACTAAAGTTTCTAATATGATAGAAAATGGACACGCAGATGAGCTTGCAACTCAGGGCTCCTCTTCTACGGATACTCCAATTTCAATCCCTGTTGATTTTATTGACGATTTTTTGCAACAAGCAAATAAGGCGTGCACTCATACTTACACAGCACAAAGGTCAAGCGCTACTTTAGGCCAATTTATTCTAAATGCAGAACCTCTGACTAGCTATATAGAAGCAAATCAGAGGTATCTAGATTAATATTTGTCTTTACAGGGCACTGAATTATCGGACGGCATAGGGCTAAGCTCTGCCTACCCTGTAGTATCTTCTGCAATGCATGTTTACTGGAACTCGAAAAAAGGATACTAGAACAACACCTGTTGTATCTATTATGTCCTGGCTTGTCCAGAATCAGGATTAAGCTTTTGGGTACCTCCTTTTTTAACACACTCAGAGATATCTCCTGCATTACCATTAGCCAGACTCTCGCCTTTATAAATGCTTCTGGCTGGTTCTAACTTGATCATTGTTCTATCCATTATAACAAAGAATTGTGGAAACAAAACGGCTAATTGCTAATTAATTGAGCTAACTGAGGAAGTTTTCACCTCTCCACTTCACCTTACCTAAATTATAGACAAATTTCCTGAAAAATATAAATATAGATGTATAAATTTTATTAAATAATAAATTTTAATTTGCTAAAAGGAGATTTTAATTAATTTCTAAATTTCCTTACATATATATAACTAAAAGCAGTTTTAGATACGGTGAACACATATTCAATCCAATCAACCGAATGAAATTTTAACCGCAAATTAATATTGAAATTTATTGAAATTATTTAATGTGCCACATCAAAGTTAAACTTAAAAACCGCAATATTTACTTTACATTTGTAATAACAATTTATTCGAATAATTATAAATGTTTGAATGATATTTGGAATGAAAAATTTCATTTCATTAAAAATATATTTGAATGTGTAATAATAAAAAATTACAATCACATTCATAAAGTTGTGATATTTTATATTCAAAATCTATTTGTATTGCACAATAGAAAACAAAAAACTATTATTTAATTTAATATTAAAATAATCTATGAAAACTGACAATGAGACTTTGGAATGTTTTATATGTTAATGTCCGGTATTGTCCACAATAAAACTCTTTCTAAATAGCTCTTTTTTTACAAATATAAAATAATTTTTTTCTACTTTATGAAGTAAATACACACAAACATTTTATATTCATCAAAACAAACCATAAAAATTATAAGATATTTCTCCTAAAGATGTATGGTAGTCTATATCTTTTTGTCAATATATCGGTAGTATATTGGCTAAGCGATACTTTGATACTTTAACAAAATTATCCACCGACAACAAATCCAATCAGTTATTGGCATGCGCGGTCGACATTTTTAGCTTAGGTAGATCCGAAACAAGTATATGAAACCTCTTCGCCCATGTATCACCCATGTATCTTCGCCGTGTATTAAATAAGAAATTACGAAAACTATGATAACATCAACTGCAATAAAAAATCTAGAGCTAATCAAACTATCATGACAATGGGGTATGATTTTGGATTAGTGCAATCCACTATATGTCTCAGTTGTCTCAGTTGTAGCACCTGATAATAACGTGGATGAACAAACACACAGGTGTTTGTTTAAATCCAGCAAATCATACTAATCTGCTAAGGTTTTTACAATTCAGAAACCTTTCCATAACATCTAAGCTAGTGTTCTATAGGATAGTTGTCTTGCCAGTACCCATATGTGGATCCAAAACTTGGATACTTTTTCATCAACATCGTCGTTGATGAGTTTCAGTAAGTTCAAAGGTGGAAAAATTTTTAATAAAAAACTCTGACTTAAAAAACTTAACTATTCTAATTAAAAAGAATCCGATATTAGTAAATCTATTTAAGAGAAGCATTCTGGCACAAAAGACAATAATCACAGTAAAATG